CCACATCCCCAGTGCAGACAGCAGTTTTAGTACAGTGGTAAACGCAGGTTACTGAGCGGTTACTGTAATCAGAAAAGCCTACCCTCATTCAGGTGGAAAGATAAAAGCGATGACTTTCACACAATCATACGCATGCACACACAGTTTTTAAAAAATGGGCATAAAGGGCTGTACATAAGACTAATACTGACAGATCTAGACAGAGATTTTAAGGTACTATACTTATATCAGGGTTATTATTTATTTATTTATTTTACAGAAATTTGCTGAAAATAAAACTGATTTTCAACTTGTACCACAGGACATCTTTTTCATTACATTATTTTTTTTCTTTCTATACTCCAGTAAAATGAAGAGCTACTCCACTTCACATGAATTATGCAACATCATGTGGATATGAGGCTTCCAGAGAGCTTTCCAGAGAGTGATGATTTACCACAAACTCACTTGCAACACAAGGTTTCGGTTCAATTTTTTATTTTTTTTTGTATTTTGGTGGGTGAGGGGTGGGAGACTGTCAAAATGATTGGTGCTAATGTTTTTACTGTGTTAAGAAAATACCTCCAAATAAATTGAGTTTAAATTTAAATCAGCTCAATCTATTCAAAACACCTGACATGTCAAAATTTTATTATAGACACAGAGCGATCTTTCATTTGCCCCGATAGTGTCAATATCAGCTGTCATATCCTTTACAAAAATGTGCCATGTACCAAAAGTACCATTTTACAATAATTGTATCAAAAGGTAATATCATAGTACACTTTAAGAACATGCAATTGTCTTTCAAATAAGTTAATTTAAATGTTATTAGATGTAATTTAAATGCTATTACATTAAGAACATGTTTAGGTTACTAAACAAAACATTTTTACAATGTACTGTGAAATGTGATGAATGGCGACGATACTCGTGTACAATGGAATTTAAATTATTCTTTTAAAGAATAACATTAACATGGAAGTATGCCAAAAATAATATGGTAACACCATGGTATTATGTCCAAAAATGATTGTAGTTCTTTGGACCTTTATTGTGATTTGATTCCATGGTAGAAGTGGGCAATACATCTTACAATTTATATAACTAAACTAAACCTATACTAGGATATACAAATCAGTCTAATAAGGGTCAGATTGAGTAGGAATAACTCCATATATGATTTGTGTAAATATATCAAACACCCTAACAGAAACTATACCGTAGCTATAGTTGCAAGTGTAAGTCATAATACATTTAATATGAGATGTTCTGCAAAGAGTGTAAAAAGCTTTCTGTCATGTTAACTTCTTTTTTAGATGACAGAAGCTGCTAATACCAAGTTACCACAGTGTTATTGTACAAACTGTAAAATATATGATTTTTAATCTACGGAAAGTAAATTAGGCACGTAAATTACTAAGTAATCTGTCATTTGAAATCTAGGCTATACTTGACTGCTATTGCGTTATGGTCTACAGAATATACCATAATACGGTTTTTTAAATCGTTTTGAAGAAATTCATGAATATTATAATTATCTGTGGCAATGTTCGTGTATTTAAATCGATGCAAGAACTTCCGTCCAACTCAGAATTTGTCAAATTTCGGCGAGGATTCCACCGACTATTTCACACCCTCAGTCCGGGTAAGAATGAATCAACCAACCGCCAATTCCAGTGACATGAAGACGGGGTTAGTTAAAGCGGGTTAATAAAGAACAATATTTCACTCTTGTACTAACATTAAAGTGAATAAATACGACGGTTGAGAGGGGGAACCAGGTTATGGAGCACGTTAGCGCCACGGCTAACTCACAGATAATGGGCAAAAGCCTGAGCTATATCTGTCACTGGTGATGTAAACATGATTTAAACGTAAAATATCCTAAATTAAGTGAACTACATGTCCAAACTGTGCGCAATTTGGCAAACAGCGCTGGTTTCTCAGAGCCCCATCCAGTAGCGCTGAGTGTGTGTGTGTTGCTCCTACCGCGCCCCTCTTTCCCCCGTGCCGATCCTTTTCTTTCTCTCCCAAAGCCATCTAAACACACTCTTCCACACACACTCACCAAACTCGCTATCCACGCAGCGTGTCGCACTTACATATTTTTCCTCGGAGGCTCTGCAAAATCCGGATTTTTGTGTCGTCTTCTTCCGCCATGGTCCAAGTTTCGTCTCTGTACAGTACATTCAACACTTATCACATCCGTTTATGAATGCAGTCTCACGGACGGACGGCCCTCCGAAGCGTCACCGGCTCAGCGCGATTGGTCGCGACGCCGGGATTTGTGTGAATCAACTCACACAGGCAACATCATGTAGTCAAAACAAACGGAAGCCCTAGTGGAGGACGAGCGACAGAGCAGATGAACGGGGCCCCTCCAGTAGCCCCTCGAAAGAGACCCAGTGACTTGTGTTTTAAAACCTAGAGCGCTGTCTACCGAGAGAGCGAGAGAGCCTAAAAAGCCTTGTCAAGTTACACCGCTCACTAGGTTTTGAAACAGTCTGTGTGGGTAGTTTGGAAAGCAAGACAAATCTGTTTGCTAGTGGTTAGTATTTAAGTAGGATAGACTTTGTCTGTCCTTAAAGGCATTTTAAGATTTAATGCGGCCCCACACAGAAATCCCTTGAGGAAAAAAAAAAAAGTTTTTTTCCCCCTAATGATTATTACTAATAAATAAAACTTTGCAAAGTGTATCATGGTATGCACCACCCATGGTCTGTGTGATGTTACAGATGTTTTTTAAGACATAGGCCTACTGGTTTTTTTTTTTTTTTTACTTTTATGACCCAGTATAACAATAATATTGTATAATGTGATAATAATAATCATAGGCTACTACTGTAGTATTGCCAATAATCAGACTATATACCCTTTTCAGACTGTGAAGATGCATTTCCAGAACAATTAACATCCTAAATCTAACATCCAAAATCTAATTATAATATATAATATATATTAAAATATATTTTAATTATTTAAATAATAATAATAATAATAGTAGTAGTAGTAGTAATAATAATAATAATAATAAATGCATTTATAACACATATCTTGTGCTATATTAGCCTGGTATTAAATTACAATATACTAGTCAACACTACTGCAACACTACAGCTGAACATTTGAGGTCTTCCTCTCTTCTGACTGCATAATTTATCTGTTTGTTTTTTGTTTTTTTCTATTTTGGAAAGTTGTAGAAATGCAATTGTGGATATTTCTTTTGCTGATGAAGAAAATGGGAACATCAGACTTTTTGCAATGGTTTTAGGATTATATGCTATATTTTACTTCCACATTCCAAACCCAGAAATGTGAAAATCATCCATTCCATTGATATTAATCAAATTACAAATTGTATGTTGCTCTACTCTGATTTCTTAGCCCATCAAGCATGACCGCAATGTCAGTGTTATCACCAATGTCTCTTAAGTTGTGTTTTTGCTCAGAAAACCTTTCTGTTGAGCAGGCATCTTATCCTTGTGCATAACTGTTAATTTCTTTATTAGTATATTTGTTAGGGCATTTTATACTGTATATATGATCTGTGTCAGATTAATTAAATAAAATGAAAATTTATGAAGTGTTGCACCTTCATCAATGACTCGACAGTTGGACCCATTGTGCTTTTGCAAACTTGTTAACTTTGTAGACTTCAAATGTTAAGCATTGTGTTGAAACATTTGTAACATATGTAATGTTATTGTATTACAATCTCAACTTGAATGTTCACATTGGTTAGATAGAAACATTAGCCTAATTTTTGAGTAGACTGGCAGATGTTTTCTGATGGATTAGGCATGCAAAACAGATAAGTAGCTGATAGGCCATCTGGTGGAGTTTTTGAAAAATGTAAAACAAAGTTCCGGTACACATGAAAGAAGTACCAGACATTCCCTGATGCTCTGGAATGAATAAAAACCTTGACAGACATTGTACTGATAGGCTTTCGATTTTGGCCACAAACCTGCTACCAGCACATCTACAGAGAGTGGTGTTGACGGTGGTGGAGAGTTCAGAACATCTGGCACTGGTGTCACGTGGGCCCAGACAGGACACTGTGAATGCGGCATTGTGTGGAGGACCGACAGAGAAACCGGAATGAGCTTCTCAGGCCCAAAGACAGAGTGCGAGAGACAATCTGAATGAATAAACAGAATTCCCACTTACAAGTCCGCAGTTTCAGGAGGAAGAGGAGCTCTGGGCTCTGTTTCACTCGTTCTCTTTCTAGCTCTCTCAGACATCCTCCCCATGCTTTTTTTTTAAAGGGGTCATATGATGCAATTTCAAATTTTCCTTTCTCTTTGGAGTGTTACAAGCTGTTCGTGCATAGATAAGATCCCTAAAGTCACTGGATAGCTGGCCAATCAGAGCACACCTCGCTTTTCAGACCGATGAGCTTTGTTAAAATCGACGCGTTTCAGAAAGGCGGGGCATAGAGGAGAAACAATAATGTACAGTATGTGGAAGGTAATGTGTTTTTTTAACCTTAAACCGCATAAACACATTGCATTACACCAAATACACAACTTAATGTTCTTTTTAGCAATGTCATATGACCCCTTTAAGTTGTATTTATTATTGTAATAATATGACATTTAAAAATGTAAACGTAATGAAATAAATTTGTGTTCCAATTGTAGAAAACTGGCATTTGATATTGAGGAAACCCAACGAACATTGCAAAAGACCTTAGTCAACGGTAGGTGACATTTTTAATGTGCCATAAATGAAAACAAGGCAACTGTGTCACACGGTGCGAAAAATAAAATGACCTATTTGTTATATAAAATGGGTAATTTTAAATACTTTGTGAATAAATCCTATTGCATTACAGTCTGTCAACAGCCTTGTTTTCATTTGTGGCACATTTAATGCCATCAAAACATTACAACAATTTAAACAAGATATTCTGATGTGTTATGTGTTATTTTTGCAAATTTTTTTTTTTTTAAGTATTTCACAAAATTCTGTAATTTTATAAATGAAAGGAAAAACATTTGGTATATTCTGGAAAATCGTTTTTTAGCATTTATTAGTATTATCAGCAGAGATATTAATGCATTTGTGCAACAAATAGATTGAAATGGTGGTAACAGTGTTGTTACAATAAAAGTACAATCACTCGCAGTTATCTTTACTGTAAGGTGCTGCTAGTCGTTCACTTTACTTGATGCATAGGGTACAACACAATGACCAATGGAATAGGGAAGATCCACTTGACTTAGACAAATAAAAACATATAAAAATAAAACCACTTCTTTTCTCATAGAAAAAATGGAAAACTACCAATAATATTTCATGTGAATGACCAAAAATTACATCTCACAAGTTCTCTTGAATGCAAAGTCACTACGCCAACCTCCACATACTTTCATGTGCGTTTTGTCCCCCATTTTTCAAACGTTTTAAGGCCTGCCCTGTCACTTACGTCATTATTCTATGTGACATCAGCAGGAGATGCATTTCCTTCCTGTCGTGGGTGTGAAAACAAGGTTCCTCTTTGCAGAAATGCTGTTCTGACTTGAGCAACTGTAGGCTGTTGGGAAGTTCCTTTGGTTACAGGCATTCTTGGCTGACAGACTGGACAGAGTCAGCACTTTACTTGGTTGTACCTGTGTTGGGAGGTCAATCCTGTTGTCCCCATATCACAGAGTCCTGTCTGTGTCCCTCAAATCCAAATCCTTTAGAACGTTCCAAAATGCTTTTTTTCTTTAACTCTGAGGAAAGGGGAGTAAAAGACCCATCTGCTGCATAAGGAAATGACAAAGGTGTTTTCTTGTAGACACTGGTGATTGTAGGATAATTCCCCCCGCTTTCTATGACCATAGGTTCCCCCATCTTTGGCTTGATCTCTGAGCTGGTATACATGCTTTCCCAAGGCTCAGGTTTGATCTGACCTTTGCGCTCTTTACCTGTTGAGAGTGAACTGGTTATTTTACATGTCATGTCTGGATCTTCTCCATCTTCTGCCTTGAAGTGCTTGCTCTCGTGCACACTCAACAGCACTGCTGATTTACATACTTTTGAGCAATGCCTGCAATTGTGTCCTTTACCTGACTTTTCGAGATGTTTTTTCTCATGGCTTTTCTTGGTGGCAAGGTAAAGGAACCGCTGTGGGCAGTAAGAACATCTATAACGCTTTTCCATGCTCAGGCTGTGGTACGCCACATCTGAGCTGAAACAGGAGCCATCCTCAGTGCAGCTCTTGCAGATAAAGTCACCACTATCCTCTCCAGTGGGCCCAGCTGTGCTGGATGTGTCTTCAGGGGGACATTGTTTACCACATATTCTGCAGTGTGGCTGATGGCAGCTGATGATGTGCATGCTGAGGGTGGTCTGACTAGGGAAAGAGCTCTCACAGCTGTGGCAGGGGAAAGCTTCCTTTTGGCTGCTATGCCTTGGCTCCCTCCTGACCCCATAGTTGTCTGCTGAGATCCTCTCATCTGGACAGAACGGTGTTTCTCTGATGTCAGCATTGGCTTGAGGTGACAAGGGCCTAGTGTAGTATTTCAGATGTTTCATCCTTTTTCGTTTTCCTTTCACTTTCTTACACTTCTTTTTAGGTTTATATGTGTAATAGGGGCGCCATAGTTTGTCGCTTTCAGGATCATGTAGGTCATCATATGATTCTTTTTCTGTAACTGAGGTTGTAACTTCTGCCCTCACCCTCAAACTTGGACTTCCAATACTCTCCTCTGCAGGGCTTTTTTGACCTATGCCCTCTAGTCTCCAGCTTTTCCTTTTCCTCTTTTTTGGAAATAGCTTTGAGCCTTTTATTTTTCGTCGAACAATTGCCTCGTTGCCAATTTTCACTGTTATTTGGCAGAGGGGAAGGACTTGGCTATCAATTGATGGGCCTGGGCATGCAGGCTTAGCAATGTACGTTTCTGTCTTTCCACTAGGTGGTTGATCTGCTGTTATGCTCTCAGGTCTTGCTTGCAGCAGCTGATTAGCCATGTCCTCAATGGTTTGTGCTGCTGCTGACAGTTCACTCAGCTTGCTCAACCCTTCGAAGGAGCACACAGATGGAATGTTGAGGAATGGAAGAATGTCTGTGCTGTTTTCTGTGTTTTTCTCTGTTGGAGAATCCCTGTCACTTCCATGCGTAATCAGAGAGGACCCTGTGTTTTTCTGTATTGCTTGTGAAGAATCTGTAAACCTGTAGCTGAAGAGCGGTGACCCTTTTCCATCAAATCCAGACTTTTTCTTGAAACCAGTAGAGAGGTTTTTCAGGGATTGGTCTATCTCAGATGGCACAGGAAATCCTATCTTTTGGTCACATGGTTGGTCAAAGCTGATGCGAGGTGTTTCTGATGCCATCATTTTCGGAGTGGCCATGAATGTCACCGGCATTGAAAATAAGGACTGACCACTAACAACATCTGAATTAGTTGTCGGTACTGTACTGTCAAAAAGAGTGTGGGGGGAACAGCTGCCCAGTGGTGCACTGCAGGACTCATCATTGCCCTCGATCTCTTCAGAGTATGTCTGACTGTATGACTTGTAACGTTTCTTTCTAAACTTCATTGGGAGAAGCCTGTAAAGCTTTATGGGGTAGACACTACTCTTGAATCCACCATTTGCGGATTTTTTATTGACAGCCAGCTGTGGATCAATGCCATGGAAGGTCTTCTGGTGATTCTTGAGGATGTAATAAGTCAAGAAGGTCTCCAAGCAGAAAATGCACTGGTACCGGCGTTCCCCGGTATGCCAGATCTCATGTTTGGTACGGTATTCAGCCAGAGCAAAAACTTTGTTGCAGTAGTGGCAAGGATAGGCTCTATGCCATGAGTGTACATTCTCATGTCTTTTTAGGCTGGAAAGGGTCACATAAGCTCGTTTGCATACAGAACATTTATAAGTCCTTGAAGTGCTTTTTGTTTTTAGGGTCCCACTAACTTGATCCTGAGACATCTCAAGGGGGCTAGTCAATGTGGGGTCTAAATTTAAAGGGATATGGAGATCTGGTGGAGGTAAAGAATATTGTGTGGTATTTGCAGTAGATGTATCGTTAGAGACTGGGGCTCTCAAAGAGTCTTTATTATTTGTCTCTAACTCAGATGGACCTTTTAGAGATTTCACACAAACCTGCTCATGATTGCGCAATCTTTTCAGATGCATAAACTTTTTATGGCAGTACTTGCAAAACAAATGACTGACAAATCTCTTGTGTATTTGCATGTGGCTGGTGAGAAGCGCTGAGTCGCTAAAGGTCTCAGTGCATTGCTGGCAGCTGAAGGTGGGGACACTGGGTGTATTCTGAGGACTGAGGCAGGGTGGCTCTGCATCCTGAGAGGGTGTAATGTCAAGGGGTGGCAACAGATCGAGGCTGGAATGTATCTCTGGTGCTGCATCTGAGGACAACTGGGAGGAAGATAATGGAGCAACAGTAGCATTTTCCACTGCAGATGTGCCTGTAATAGTGGGCACAGTTGCAACTGGCTCACTTGAGAGAGGTGGAATTCCATTACCATGTATACGACGCTTCTTTATAGGTCCAAGTCTATGGGTAACCAAAGCCTTAGCTGGAGGCACGACAGGCATGATGGTTCTGTTATCGTTCTCCTGGTTAACCTCTTTAGATTCTTGCCCCTGGCTCACTGCATATGAGTGCTCAGTTAGGGCATTGGCAGGCTCACTCTCTATGGGTGATATGCTTGTATCTTGGGAGCTAGAAGGAGGTTGCCCTTCCTCAAGTCCCTCAATAACTTTGTTACGGTGATCCAGTGTAGAGAATGGGTTGTTTACTGCCTCAACCTCAGTAATGGAGAAAGCATTGGTGATCCTTGGGCCCTTAGAGCAGTCTAACTCTTCAGGCTTGAGGGTTTCTTTTTTCAGTGTGCATGTGTCTGCCAACTTTGACCGACTGTTTGATCTTTCGCAGCTTGCAGAGGCTTGGCCTTGCAAGAGACCAGAGCTCTGCCTTTCAGAGTCTAGCAATTTCTCCAGAAAGGGAATTCCTAAACGCTTTCCAGCTGCCACCAAAGACCTGCTGTCCTCTGTACTACTTGACTCCACTCTGGCATTGTAGATGAAGTTTAGGATGCTAGCAAAGACTTCAGATTTTAGGTCTGTTAGCTCCAGCACTTGGCTGGATGTGTAGACCTCAGTCGTTTTAAAAGCATTACGAAAATATCCACTTGTGGCAGCCAGTATGTTGCGATGAGCCCGGAATTTGACATCCTCCACAACGATTATTACGTCACAGAACAGGCCTTGTGAACGCTGTTCACTAAGATGACTGAGGACAGCTTTGGGGTGGGAACTGTCCACCAGACCAAGAGTGCTGGGATTGACCACAGTCATCTGCAGAGGAGAAACAAAAAGTAAAATTTACATTTGGGTAAAAAACGACATACTTTGATATAACAGCATACCACTGTTGTCTCTGAACATTGATTATTTGTTTTACTGAGATAAAAATGGAAAATAACTGGCTGCGTTTTTCAGTATACTTAGTCACTGTTCAATAACAAGTCAATAACATTCAATAATAACAAGACACTGTGTTCATGGATGATGACAACTTAAAGGTAAAGTTCACCCAACAATTAAAATGTATTTTCTCACCATCATATTGCGTTCTTCTAAACCTGTATGACACTTTTCCTTCTGCAGAACACAAAAGAAAAAACTTCTGTGTTCCACAGAAAAATTTAACGCATTAAGGTTTGGAACAATATTATAGAACAATATTAGGTTGAGTAAATGGTTACATTTTTCTGTGGTTATTCATAGTTTTCTAAAAACTATGTTAAACAAATACATATTTTACCACAACATGACATTTAACCATTAATAAAAAAGACAACAAGGAGACCATTTAAACCACAGAATGAGAACAAAGGTGTAATTATTAGATGACTCTAATCAAATCATATCAGACCACTAGATGGCAGCATGACTCAACTCATAGGCCACTTGGTTCACCATCATAACATGTCTATAAAGCAGTAATCAGATGAAGCCAGTGCAGTGAAGTTAGTATAACATACACTGGTTGGCAGATGTGGTTAGCTCATAACATCAACAACCAACTCACAAATTGGTAATGACCTCATAAGTTATTGTACATAGTGCAAAGACAGATGCATATTTCATCGTACATTTGATGTTGTTGTGATGCAAGGAAATGAGGTAAAGTTGAAGCTAGTAGGGATTTATTACTGAGGATGTTTGCGTACTGCAATGGCAGTTTTCATATTACCCTCACATCATCTCCTCATCTTACTACCTTGATCTGAACTCCCTAGAAAGCTCTTGTTTATTTATTTTTGCTCTCAAGATTTCAGAGTAAACACACATAGATACACGCACATAGATAGAGCATAAAACAGAGAAACAACTGCTATGAAAAACAAGGAAAAGCACTTAAAGTACAGCAACAATATGCATAAATAGGTTACAGTCCTTCAAATGAAATGTTTTCTACTACAATATTTTAAATAAAATACTTTTTTTTTTTCTCTGACAGGTTAAAAAAGACTAATATTTTTTTCTGATAACCCTGTCATCAACCAATTTAATCCTTTGCTAAACCTGCTAGTCAAAGTCATCAATAAGAGTCTAGACTTAGCAAGGGTGAGATGTTCCATACATGATGACTCATTTGGAATGCTCCTTTTGTCTGCTATAGGGGAGCTAACACCTGGGCTGTGGGAGATGGCTCACCTGGCATATAATCCATTATCTGTGATATACAGAAATATATTAACATGAATAAAAATTACATTTGGTTAAAAATATGTATATGAGGTAGGTATTATCTGACTGGGGTCTATTGTCAGAAATAATCAGTCATTAATTTATATTTGATGAAAAAGTGTCTAAACAGTTTTGACTTTTTAATGACTAATTCCTGTGGAGTGACTCAAAATAATTTTTAAACATGCTGTATGTTAGTCCTGGAATGTCCACCAGACTTAGTCACTGAATTACAGTGGATAGTTAGATCTCTTTCTAAAATCCTGCCCTACAAATATACCGCTGTACAATTAAAACAACTGTAATCAGACCTAGAGACACAAAAGGATTGTGCCATGGTTCCTGTCTTGTTTACCTGGCTTTTGTGTGGACTTTTAGTTTGTAGTTTTGCTCCGGTTCTTGGTCACCTGTGTCTTGTTTGTTAATTACCCTCTGTGTACTTAAGCCCTTGTCTTTTCTATGTGTGAGTTGTTTTGCCTGTCTTGCCCTTTGTTTTGTATTATCCTGTGTTGGATTTTTTTCCTGTTGCCTGGATTTATTAAACTTCTATACTGCACTTGGATCCTCCTCCTTGTTTCTGAAACACTCACTGTTACAGAATAGTGATGCAAAGTCCGATTCATTTCCGCGAACCGGTTCTTTTCGGACAGATCGGCTCCTTGAACCGGTTCAAAAAGACGATTCATCGGTTCCTGACTTCATCAAGCAGTACGTCTCTATACATTTCTTTTCAAACAAGTCAGTGCCATGTTGTGTCAATGAAAAATTCAAATAAGTAATTTGTGTCAACACATTGAAATATTCAAAAAATAAAGTTACTATATTCGGGTCAATACGGTAATAACAGTCATAATAAGCATATTTTCAGTACGTTCCTCAGGCTTGCACAGTATTGTCAACTCGCTCATCAAAATCCTCGGCAAATTTCGCCACGGCTCATTCGATTCTTATTGAGTCCTCGGTAACTCTCGGCAAACTTCGACAGGTCGTTGAACCGGCTCATTCGGTTCTTTTTGAGTCGATGGTTCTACTTTGGCTGTGCGTCCTGCGTCATCAACCCGGAACTAAAGTTCGATTCAGTTCTATTTGTGAACCGGCTCGACCGGTTACTTCCTGAGAACCGGCTCAAAAGAATGATTCGTTTGAGAACCGAACATCACTATTACAGAAGACCAAACCATAGATGGATCCAGCAGTGAGACTTCTGCTTCTCAGTCAGGGAGAACGGCTGATTGAAGACTATGTAATGGGTTTAATTGAATTGGCACATTTAACTTCGATGGACACTGTACGCCTCATGATATTTTTTCGAGGGGGGCTATCTGAACCACTTAGCTTGATCATACCATTACATGAACCTCACTGCAATTTTATATTGATCTAACCTTGCAGTTAAGTTGTTCTCAATTTACTGTGGGAGTCGTGTAGGAGGAACGCAGCACTCCCACTGTGTCTCATCACAACATGGCCGTCAATCCTGAGCCTCATCCTGTCATGGCCACCATTCCAGAGCCTCGTCACAGCACGCCCAGCATTCCAGAGTCTCATCCCATCATGGCTACCACTCTAGAGCCTCGACCCGTTATGGCCGCCATGCCATAGTCCTCAGCCATCATGGCCACCATGCCAGAGTCTTCAGGCAACATGGTTGCCACACCAGAGCCTCCAGCCATCACGGACACTATGCCAGAATCTCCAGCCATCATAGGTGCCACCAGAGGCGTCATGCCCATTCAAAGTGAGGGGGCACGTGCCCCCTCAGTTTTTTTGAGCCAATTGGATTTTGAATGCAGCTTCCAAAAGACAAAAAAAAAAATAGCCGAATATATTCTATATTTGATACAATCACACCAGCATGATTAAATTGTTCAGTGCGTCATATCATCAGCTGCTAAATTCAAATCTGCGTTCACTGCCTGGCGCTGAGTCAGAGACATTATAACCAATCACACACAATGCTGTTGAGCTTATGAATGCAATGGCCAATCAAAGGCGTTCAGATGAGTCATCGCTAAAATGCCGGTGTTTTCTTCACTCGCTCGCTGACTGAATACCTCTTTCTGGTCGAATTCTCTCGTTAGAAACAACAAAATGCAGATGTGTGTATGAATCTGTAAAGTAAGATATTCATTTCACAGTGTAAACCGCTTCAGTGGTTTTAATGGGAGTTTTTGAGAGTGCTTAAACTCTAAACTGTCAGTGAAAATGTTCTTTGATAATGTAAATGTTCTTTTCTCTCTTTCTGTACAATGAAAGTGTTATGATAAGTAGCCTAACTTACAATGTTTTTATTCACATTAACTTTCAATGTTAAATTCCCATTAAATATAAAGTCAGTCGTATTAAAGGGGTCATATGATGC